GTAGAAGTTCCTGCAGTGCTGGCTTGTTCACTTGGGGTCTCGAGGCCCACGCTCCTTGCTTGGTATCCCATGTCTATCCTCGACCTCTGCCTTTGTAACCTCTGAAACCTCTACCTCTTCCTTTCCAACTGCCTCCTCGACCTCTACCTTTACCTTTGCCTTTGCCTTCGTCTCCGAAACCTTTATCTGAATCCTTGCCTTTACCTGTTCCTTTGCACAAACCTTTTCCGTTACCTTGGTACCCATAACATTCATAACCTTTTCCGAAGAACTTACCTTTCATGTACGCTTGGTTCACACCCATTGCTGCAAGTCCTCCATGATGTTCCCTTGTTGCTGGGACAATGAGTTTGCCCATCTTTCTGTTGACTCGTTATTCACAAGATACTGATGAAGGTTCGAGCACTTGTTTTTCTCATCGAGATTGAGCAACAAGTGTCTTTTCACATCAGGCTTCATTCCTTGGATGAGGGTTGGGACTTTGAGATTTTCCTGCACCTTTTCTCCGGTGGTCTTCTCATACTGTTCGATGCGCTCCTCATATTCGAGGATGTTCTCAGCAATTCCTTTGTCCTTGGCAAATCTATAATTCAATATGTTGTGAAACAGTTCCAGCGATCTTGCACGATTTACTGGTCGGTATTCCTTCATCAACAAACGATTGGCTTCCATACCGTTCTCTTCAGGTGTGAACTTGACATAAGGTCTTCCTGTCGTGTATGAACAAGGGATGCTGTACAATTTCCTGCTAGCTTCTCTTCCTTCTGCTGTAAGATCAGCCATCTTGAAACTTGTATCATCCTCTAGGTCACGCTCAACAGTATCCATGATCTTCTTCATCTTAGCATCCAGAGCTCCAAGCCAGATTCTCATCCTTGATCTGAACTCGTTGAAGCCACTCCTTTCCTCTTGCCATGTTCCTGGGCTGAGAGGTTCAGGGACTTTGATTAGCTTGTGAAGCTCAACTTGTCCAGGCTTCCTTTCCTTGACGGCTTTCTCTAGACTCTAGACTTGCTCCTAGCAGTATTGTCGTCGAGGCTCACGCAGTCTATGCTGTAGTCCTCGAAGACTGCACAGGTGCCGCTCGACTTACTTTCCTTGGGCGATAGTGTTCTCATTGGCGTATTGGGCTTCGTCGGTGTCCGCGTGACCAAAAGTTCGGTCTCGTCACTTTCCTGCTTGGTTTTCTTTCTTTTTCTCCCCCGGCGTTCCTGACCATACCAAGGACCTGCCACGGTTCCTCGATCACCAAAGTTTATCTTCCTGGGCTCACGATCATCCCGCACAAAGTTGCGAGGCTTCCCAGAGCAAAACCAATCAGCAAGACGATTCCTCTTGCCATTCCATAGCACTTCACGTGTCTGCGTCGGAGTTCCTGATGGGTGTACTTCTCAAGGAAACAGTCCTGGCACGGCTCGTAGTCTTTGACTCCAGGGTTTCCTGCGATCACATGCATCTTCAAATGTGCGCATGCTTTCCTGTGGCACTGCAAGTCCCGCAGAGTCTCCACGTACTCCACAACTTCTTCCTGAGGGCGCATCTGCATCCACGCGCAGACTAGGCACTCGACCACGGCGATTGCCATTGCTGTTCCTATCATTTGGAGTAGCATAATCGCTGCCAAGGTTCCTGATCCAGGCAGCTCCGCTACCATGTTACAGAACGGGCTTTACTAAGGGTTCCTACACGTGGCGGTCCACACTTTTTCCTGTGGTCGCACTGGCTGTGTCGTGTCCTTGAGCCTAAGGTTTACCGTCGGCTCAAACAGTTGCACTATGCACTTTGTAGGTGTTCCTACACGGCTGGAATGTTTTACAGCTCGCCGGAGGCTTGCAACGTTTGTGCCCACGTGCGGTTCCCGACCATAGGGAGGCTCGGCTGGCTGCGGTGTCATCTTTGCAGCTTCCACTCCAATTCTATCCACCGGTAGCATCACGTCAGCGATGTTCGGGTTCTCCAATACAGAAGACACACGACTCCAGTCGGGCTGGAGGTCCCTGCTCACGTACCACACCATTCGGCAACCCAGGTCCTTCGTTTACAGCTCCATATTAATGTAGTTCCATTTCTTTGCACGGAGTCGCCTGTTTGTTGGGCGTACATATGCTATAAAGTTCGGATCAACCTCCAGGAGCGGCTCAAAAGGCTTATGCAGTCGATGCGCCCTCCATTGCTCGCTCAAAGCTTGCATCTTTTTCGCACAAACACCTGTCAAAGCTTCGGACTTCAGCTTGCGCTTGCTGCCTTTGTGTACATCTTTACAAGGCTGTCCTACACATGGTGTTGCTACTTGAGCTCGGAACAAAAGGCGGCCGCATTAAGTAAATCGCTGTTGCAGTCAGTTCTCTGACACACACAAAGGGAGGATCGGAATTTCATCAGAGGCCTAGGGTGCTTTTTGCGAACAGGCTAAGGAGAAGGGGGTTCCGAGCCAGGGTGTCTATCTCATGGCTCTCTAACACTCCACCCATGGTAGTGTTCCCCTCCTCTATGCTAAAAGGCAGCCTACGCTTGCTTGAAGTGGTTGAGGCTGCTCCTAAAACCAGCAAACGACTCTTCGTTTTGCTATCAACCCAACAGAAACTCAGGCCTAACGTCTTGAATCGGGCCTCTGCTAATCTTCCTCAGCCTGCTTCACCTTCGGCTCGGGTGTAAGCTTTGGAGAGGCGACCCTTCCCTCTATAGCCCGCCTAGCCTTGGTACCCAAAACCGGCTCAAAACCCTTTCCCTGCGCGTGCCACCAGTCCTGGCACAAGCGTCGGCTATCGATTGCGTGTCCTGGACGCTGGGGCCATGCACGGTTCCTTTGCTTGAAGGTATGCATCACCATGCATCCTGGACTCTTTCTTTGGAGCCGCTGCTTCTGCCTCCTCGAAGGTCGCTTGCCTCCATTGCCACCATTGGTCAACGTGTCGCCGGTTGTCCTCGTCACGCTCTTGCTGGCTTAGTCGTGGGGTGCCGCCGGCACGTTGACGAGGAAGCGGTTCCTGCGGTCGGTGCCTCTAGACTCTGGCACCTGGGCAGCTAGAGGCTCTGACCGCGAGCTTGCTTGCCAGAGCAGACCCAGACTCATGTCGAGTAATAGCTCGTCTCTGCGCATCTGCTCCATGCTTCTCTGGTAGGCTTCTTCAGCCTCCTGCTGCGCGTGGAGAGGATGACAATGATTCCCGCAAAAGTTGTATGACCAGCGCTTCCGCTGTTTGAAGAGCAGCCGGGGAAGCTGTACGGATCGAGGGCGGCGAAGAGTACGTCTTCGTCCGCTTCCCTTTGCGCGGGGCACTCATCCTCCATCGTCTGTTGGCTGCCAAAGGTATCAGCCCCTTGGGGTCTGAAATGTTGAAGTGCTGTGGAGCATCTGCCCGCTGACCGTGATTTAAGGGAGTCTCCGACTGCCGCTTGCCCTTACCTTTGCCCCTATGTGTTGCGCTTCTGCCCTTGGCAACAAGCGCCGTGGGGACGAACCTCCATGAGCTACTGGGCCTCTGGTCCATCACTGTCGTGATGGCCTCGTGCAGCCAGTCGTGAAGAGCGGTCGCGTTAACTCGCTCCCCTGGAGCCAAAGCTTGTGTCACTCGGTCCTGGAACATTCCGAGCTCTGGGTGACCAGCCCAGTGCCCGATGGCACCACACCTACGGCAGTTAGACTTAGCCTTAAGGGAATGCATCTTGCCACGTCGTTCCTCTAAGGTAAGGTGTGATCTCACTACCATGCCTTTCCTTTTTCCTTCGGGCTTGTTGCCCTTCTTGCCCTTTGCCTTGCCAAACGCCGCATTGGCAGCCAATTGCAACCGTGTGGCGTGATAGCTCTCAGGGAGTCTGGGTCGAGTTCATGTGAGGCGTCGAGCGCAAGAGCTTCATCCTCCTCGAGCTCGAAATCTTCGTAGCTCTCGTCTTCTTCTTCCTCCTTCTCTGCGGCAGGGTAGGAAAACACGCGTCGTATCCGTAGCTAACCTCATCCCGAGAGCAGGTTACGAGGTCTCCTCGTAGGTGTCCTGGTTGTCGTCGTCGTCGGGGCCTTCCTCTTCGGGATAAGCCAAGGCCTCATCCTCCGCGATGCTGACGAAACCTTTCCCCTTCCCTCGGGGGTAACCTTTGCTGCTGGGGCTGTGCCTCGGCCCCTTTCCGCTGCGACGGTGATCTTGGTAAGGTCAGTAAGATCCACCTAGGGCGCGTCCCTCTCACAGGTGCATACCACTGTAGTGCTCCACTTCACAGCAAAAAGGCGGTGCTTTCGTCCATGGGTAGCGTCACGGAGTCGGCCTTGACGGAGCCCGTCCTCAGACTTCGGGTTTGCATGCGCGGTCAGGAGATCCGGCGTCTTCTGCGTGTCCCGCAGTAGCAGGCCCATCCTCTCCGGGTACAGGCGCGGCGGCTGCGATTCGAGCCGGGCTGACAGCCTCGGCCTCGCTCTCGGACTCGTCCGGGTCGACACTCTTGTCGCCCTTCTTTGCCGATGTCGGTCGCGTCTTGGAGAGAATCGCATCCTCATAGAGCTTCAGCCTCATCGAGGTCCGAAATTCCCAGTCGTGAATCGTGCAATGTATTGGGATTGCCGCCGTACCAAGGGAGTACCCGAACCAGCACCTCGGGAGTAGCGTAAGGCCAGCTACGCTCATTGTCAAGGATGATCAGTGAGATACAGGAACACAAGGGGGGAATGCAATGGTTCGATATCGGGCTCGCCCAAGCCGTGCGATCCGTGTACTAAGACCCGCTCGGCTGGTCGCACCGAGGGGTACCAGCTCCGCTACCAAATTGAAATTGGCGGTCTTTTTCCCAAGCAGCTCAAGGGCCGTAAACGGCAGCAGAGAAACGGACACTGATTCACACAGAAGTAAAACAAACCCACAAGAATTCGGGCTCCGATAGCCCCTCATCCTTCGATTGTTCTTGGCATCGCTTGGCTTTGTAGAAACTGATTGCCTTAGGAAGGACAGCTTTGCCGAGTTTTCAGCAGAGGGCAGGACAGTGTTCCTGCGCATTATGCGATTTCCTGTTGATCAAGGGCAGCCAGACATGGTGTTGAGTCGCGAAAAAACATCGTCTTCCTGCGGTTTCATGTTGCAGAGTCCATGCTTAATGATTAATGAGGCACCGGCACACCAGAAACATGGGTACAAAATCACGGCATGCGAAGAGAGTCGCAAGTAGATTAGCGCACACTCGGAATCTGGATCTTCGCAGTCCTGACATACACCCTGCCAGCGGCTCAAGGCAGCAAACGGACACCTTGAAAACCCCTCTTGTTCTGGCGATCCTCGCGTTTGACCAGAGGTGTCGAGCATCGCCCGTGCTCGGCTCCAAACGTCATCGGTCACCTGTCACTTTCGCAGACGATGCTGCCATTGCGGAAGGAAGTTTGACTGATCTGGGCTTGGTTCCCACGTTTATGAAATCCCAATGTTCGAGTTCAGACATGAAGGATTGCCTGTTTAGCCCGATGGCAAGCCGAAACACTCTCAGAATGTCCGGCTGCATTCCGCCTTCTCCATCTGGTCGGATGCAAAGTACGGGCAGCAGATGCTCCCACTGTGGGGGTCCTACTGCGGAAGCACTTGAGCTTTTCAAGGTATGGCGCTTCTCGACATGTAGTTGGGATCAAGCAACAAGACCGCACTGCCACAAGGTACGTCGGCAGCATGTTGTGTCCGAACCTTCTGGGTCAGGTGCCAGAACTTGACGAAGTTTTCCTCGGGGTAGAAATTTCATGCACTGTATGAAGCGGAGCAAGCCTTCCTGACATGTCGCCCTTGCTGCAGACGTGGTGCTGTGAAGCCCTGCACGATGGCCGGACAGATGTTCAGCTTCGTGTCCTCAGCTCCGACAAGCTCTGATAACCTTTTGCTACAACGAGAAAGTACCGATGCGTGCAATGCGAATTCCTCTCTGCTGCACGCTTCGCAGTCCGTTGTACCGCCATTAACGTGCCATGGACCTTCCTCCTGCGATCAGGCTTGGAATGCAAACAAATCCAAATTGGACGAGACTCGCCATCTGTTATCTTGGAGTTGTGGAACCTCAAACGTGCCACAATGTGCCGACATTTTCCATGCGCCGACGGTGTCGAGGAAGTTCCATGGATGTTCAATTGCTTGTTACGGGCTTCTTCTGTATTAGTCCGGGCCCCGGGCTGTGTGCGGAAGACTACCGCAAGCTCTGGGTTACCTTCGGTCAAAGCTGATGTCAATGTCAAATGTTTACAACATGTCTTCAGCTGCACAACTCACAGGTCGGACATACCGAGTGACTTGCTACCACCCCCCAACTTTTCACGAGCTTCAACATCAACATCATCATCAACGAACGCGCCAATGAACACCAGAAGGAACGATCGAACGACCCCACGAAAGACAGGTAGGCACAAGGAAACAGGAAGGCAACAACGACGACAACAACAACAACAACAGAACTATCTAGAGAAACAGCCGTAGTTGACCGTAAAAAGGAAGGGAATAAGAACAACATAAACGCTCAGACTCCCAGCCCCGTTTGTTTCACTCAAGACAGCTCAAGGCCATGCGACGCCGAAATCACGACGAGAACAGCACAGGACACCGCCGCACCCATTGAAACATCGACTTTGCCACGCGTTATTTAAAAGACCCCAAGCCCGTCAGCGTTGAACACGCAGGATGATGCTGCAGCTGCTGATGTTGATGATTTCTTGTCTTGGCTCGCCAGTTGCTTTTATCTTTGGCTGTGTCTTGTGTGTTCTTTCCTTGCTGTTCATCTTTCCGTATGTCCCTCTGTCCCGGTGACTCTTGCCGCAGCTAACTTTTATCTCCTGATTGATGCCCATCCCGTGCCGCAATGGCCGTGCATCACGCCAGGGACGCAGTAAATCGCGGTTGGCCTGCAATATTGTCCAAGTGGCGAAAGTTGATAAAGGCGCTGGAGGTTTGACGTCGACTGGATTTCTTGGCGGGGAACCACAGAAGCACATCCTCAGATTGATGTTCTGCGATGGGCTTGGCTTTCTCTCTAACTTTCGTGCACACCAAGCTTCATAGAGATCCCGGTACCCGAAACCTGAGCTGTCGATGATCGCGTACCCGTGTGAAGCACAGAAAACACATCCTCTTCGAACATGAGCACTAGAATTTTGCGTCAGAATGCTCTGCAAAATCCCCACCGACTGGGTATGCTTTGAACAGCCAGCTTCTATCCAGCTAGATTTCCAGCTTCTGGGCAGGCTGCTGTCGATGAAGTCCATGACCTCACAGGAAGATTCGTGTCGAACTGTGAAAACTTCTTGCGCTGCGGCCGGTCTTGTCAGATCAACAGGGGTATGGTTTCTGCGTATGTCTCACTGTTGGACTGCTGTGTGGCCTTTTGCTGGTTGAAGTCGAGTGGGAGGTTCTGGATGATGAACGATGTCACAGCCTGGTATGGGAGAGATCTCTTTGCTGGCTTCTGAGATGACTCAGACAAGTGATGCAGACCTGGTCCGCTCATACCCTGAATCACTCTAAAGCTTCCGGCAACATGGAACACATGCTGGCCCTAAATTCCGACCACGACGAAATCAACTGCAAGCCCATGCCAAGCTTGGCGACCTTGACTGTCGAAGGCAAGGCCTCCAGCCGAAACGCAAGGCACACAAGGCGCACTACCGGGAGGCTCATGGAGGCTCTTTCTACTCCTAGTCCTAGTCTCTGCCATTGAAAGGTGCCGCGAGCTTCGCGCAGTCCCTGGCTGCGAGATCAGCTGCCTCACCACGCTCGTCTGTACTGGAGCTGCCGATGTAGGTCCACTGCCTCATGCCGCGTAGAATTTTCGGGTGTTCAAGACTTCAGAAAAAAACAAGCAACAAATGTTCCGATCGGGGGAAGGCAGCGACACATAATTTTACCGAGAGGCTCCAAGGCGGCGCCATCCTCCTGATACTACAAGAAGCTTGGGTTTTGCTAGGCTGTCAAGTGTGGTGCACCACGAACTGTGACACGCCGTAAATGAAGGTTAGACCCCTTCGCATTTCTCAAACTGCGTTGGCCTCGTCGAAGCTCTCTGACCTGAACTGAGAATACCATCGCCTCTGACCAGCCTACCACGACAGCATAGTGCATTCAAGTCGCGCAAGCAGGTCACTGGGAGCCGAAATGCTTGCTGACTCCTGAACGACCAGAACAACTTCGGGTTTTTGCTCACGTTTTGTTACGAAAGGTGCAACTGGCATGGCAGACCGGAGGTGAAGATGATGATGATGATGATGATGCGGTAGAGACGAGGCGGAGAAGCGAAAGGAGTCGGAGGATGTGCAGTCCCATCTTGTCTTCTGGGGCTGATTCGACGTATTGCTTTAGTCCGGGCACCTGAGAGCATCCATTGCCACTGTGTTAGATGGTTGGGTAAACTGCCCTCAGTCGTGTAAAGTTTTGGTACGGATGTACGAAGATCATTTCATGTGGATCAGCCAGATGCGAGATCTGGAACTTCCCACGGATCAACTTCTCTGTTGCTGGGCTTTGGTTAGGCAGCTCAGACAGCAACCCTCGGACCAGATTGCTCGCTGAATTTCCAGCATGGGCCCACGCGTACTTTCCCACGTGTTGCGAAGATAAGCCAAACTGGTGGGATTCTTGGGCGTTATCGAAGTCTTCAGCGCACGGTGCTTGAGCCTGGAAGAATTGACCGCCCTGCTGGGCATGCAGCATCCTGTCATGCAGCTGGATTCCTGCTTTCTGCAAGCACAAGCCTTACATCTCCGACTTCAGGAGTACACGATTCCGTTCTTGCCTTACGAAACTCAACGCCAACCAGTGAAGGGATGAATTTGATCCAAGGAGCTGGTGGGAACGTCGTCAAAGCCATCATCCACCAGCGCGCACTCGTCCTAAAAGCCGGTCTCGAAACTTGTGCCGCGAACGTTCGCCATGGGTGCCGTGGACAGAATCTGGCCAAACGGAAAAGAGCACCGCGAGGAAGGCAAAAACCAACATCTGCAAAGTACTCCAAATCATGCATCCAGGAGAAATACATGCGGCCCAAGAAGTACGACTCGTCATCAGGATGCAAGCGGTGTTTCTGGACATACCTGAGCAAATTCTCCACCACAAAGACACTGTCAATCTCCAGCCGGCAATACCAATCCGCATCAATGTGCTGTGCTGCATACAATATCATGTACCAAGTGACCTGTATCAGCAAAGTCTTTTGGCCTTTCATGTTTTTTGCCCAGTGTTCCGATTCGGTTGCAATCTCCGGAAAGTGGTCCTTGAGGTTCACCAAGTCATCACCATCGTATTTTGGCCTCATAAGCTCTGGACCCAATGAAAAGAAGATCTTGGCAATGCTGCAGTGCTTAAGTCCTGCGAACAAGCTTCCAGAACTTCATGTCTGTGGGTGGGAAGCCAGCTAACAAACAGGCCACGCTTTGATACCACGGATTTGCAGGTGCACGTCTCTTGAAGACGAGGAGCTCAATGTCCTCTCTTTGCTGCAGTTTCGCATCCAAACTTGCCTGCAAAGGGTCGTAGCGCTGAATCTGCGTAGTCTGAATAGACCTTGAACGTAGAAGCAACTCCAACCGCTCCGACAGCCGTAGCGACTTCTCTATTGCATCGTACTTTTGCCAGACACGGATCGAGATATGCAAGCAGCACGGCAGCCATTTGCACTATCGACGAAGCCTCAAAAGCATGCCCATGTCTCGGAACAAGAAAGCAGGAAATTCAGGGGCGCGAGGGCACACTTTGCACCAAACTCTGCCAAAGTGACTAGCGATATCGTTCGGTGCCGGTGGCAGGCGACGAACACCATCCCAGCAAATGCATGCATCAAAATAGGAGTGTTCAGAGGCGGCTCCGGAAGCATAAGAAGGCTCTGACAAAAGAACCACGGCAGTCGCTGAAACCAGCAGAAACGCTGGCCTCATGGCTTGATCCTTGACACTCACATCGATGGTTTCCCTCACCGCCATGCTAAGGCACTCACTGCTCACTGCCACGAAACTCTCTGCATATATCCATGGTCCATGAATGTAAGGCTGGCGAAGACTGACTGGCGATCCGCGGATGACACAGATCGGCACACCGAGGCTATTTCTGTGTTTTGACTAGACGAGCCCAGCAGCTGCGCAGGTGCCTGAGATGCTTTGGCATGCACTCCCGACGCCCTGAGGCCTGCAGCCGTGATCCCAGGCCCACCTGGTGTTGGGCTCTGAGCACCCCGTGGTCTGCAGGTGGAATGCCTGTGTTTGCGGCTCCTGCAGCTAGGGAGTTCAGGCAAGCTTGTGGGTGACTCTTACCAAATCATCAGAGCAATGAGACTCTGTCCGCCTCTGGCTGGTATCTGTGGGCCTGCAGCCAGCAGCTCTTGCATCATCCTCGAGGCACTTCCCTCCAGCCCCTGATACTCCCTGACTGAACAACAGAGATGCAAACTGTTAGAAGGGAAGAAGCCAAACCAAGCTGCTGGAGAAATGTTGGGAGCCACTGGCTGGGATCCAGTCCTCCGGACACAGGAACTATGCTGCAAGAATGCTTGAAAGCGCCGCGAGCCCTCTGCCCACGATAGTCGCTGGAGCCCTGATCCAGTCCTGGCAGGCTCATCAGGTGCTCTGCGATGGTGGGAAGCTGCTGCAGCTTCGTCATGGGATCCCTTGGAACGCAGGGTGCTGTTGCATACTGCAAATTGATAGTCACACAATGCAGAAATTTACCACTTCGGTTGGCAGAGCTGCTGCGTGCTACTGATGTTGCTTGGATGCCGTCACTATGTCACTATGGCACTATGGTCCTAAGTTGGATCTTTCTTGCTTATCTATGTCCTCAAATCAAGAAGACTCTTGACAATGCTTTTACGTGGCAGTTAATCGTCAGACAAAAACACGGCTAGATTGCAACTTTTTGAAGCCGTGGACTGGTCTGCAAAGACCCACAAAGAAGCCCCGAAAAGGGAACCCATCTGGACAACGATGGTATCAAGCTGACTTGTGCAGTCTACCGACAAAACGCACCGTTTGAGCAAACCTACTCTAAAGCTCACGCTCAAAGCAAACCCCGAAGTCTACACTTTAGCATCTAGAGATTGTGCGAGCTGTGTTCCCACAGTTCCCAAAGCACAACCTACGTTGAATGAGACCTCCGAAAGGTCACAAAACATCTGCTGGCAAGCTTGAAGGCTTGAAAGACAACGCTTGGACTGCTCCTGGGGCTTCGACATCGGCGAAGTACAGGCCTGTCAGGTATGGATGACATGACATGAACCCCCCCAACCCGAACCCAAAGTGGCACAAAGCGGCCGAGCCGAGCCTCTTGGAGCTTCGGGACCAAGCCCACAAACCTCAGACGCAGATGCGCTGTACAGTGCAGCCGTGCAACCTGTACGCCCAGCCAATGCCACCAGGCGGCGTGGAGAGGTGCACTGGCTGGGGAGTTTCCGGCACCTGCAGGCAGTCTTCTGCGACATGAATGGTGTCTTCTTAACTGCCAGACAGAATCAGGCCTGCGCCGCTTCATCTTGTCCTGCCTGCGGACGTTCGCAGGGTCAAGTAGATCCCCGACACTAAACCCGCGGGCCTATTGGATCCCATGAACCCGTACTGCCGGCAATCTGACGCTCAACCTAACCTTTGCCCGTGCAGGATGGCACATGTTGGTGCGCCCAAACCGGTGCCTGCAGAGCTCGTGATTGTGGAAGCTCCTTCCGATCCGGTGTGATGCGTCCACGTTGACACAGGTACTTCTGCAAGCCATGAGCGTTAATTTGTTCACTTTGTGCACGCCAGCTTACTTTTAAGCGGAAATCAGAGCTTTGGTCATTGCCTTCTCAGGCAATTCGGTCTTGGACTCTTTGAGAGGCATTTTCTATGAAGTTGCTGTCCGCTCCACGTGCTCTTGTTCGTGATTGAAGTGGGGATCATGCCGCGATCGTTGACTCACCGCCATTCCACCGGGTTCTGCAAGGGAAGTGCTTCGACGATCTTCGATGCACGACCAGTTGATCTTTCATCTCAACCAGCAACCACTTTCGCTTCGCCGTCAGTAATTGTTCGGGGGGCCTCTTCGCTGAAAATTTCTGGAAACAGCCCGCGCAGCCAATAAGGAAGGAGCCCTGAAGAGCCCACAAAGCAATCCAGACAGGATCATGCTCCCATGCAAAGTGTTTCTGATTTCTCTTCACCTTCGATGCTTTTGCTTATTGTGTCCAGACCTGGTCTTTCGCACTTGACGATGTAACCGATGTCAGCAATACTATCTGATAAGGCCATGGCTCGACAAGTGTCCAGTCCTGTCGTGCCGCCCCATCCCCCGAAGCGTCACGCCTCGGCACAAGATCTTCCAAACCCAGGCCCTTCCGACGGGCTCGACATCTCGTCTACACAGTAGGACATGGCAAGAGTTCCTGCGGCCCGGTAGCAGAGACATCAGCGGCCTGGCAGAGGCAAAATATCTCCTCCCCTTACACGCCTAGTCAGATTCCGGCTCACTCTCTAACTCCCAAGAGTTCCTTTCGTTCGTGCTATTGGGCCGTGGAGAGGAAGCCCGAAGCATGTGCGCATCATTCTTCAATGGGCAAGCTCAAAATTGAGCTGAGCGGCTCGGACATCGCAGGAGCAGGTGTCATCTGCGGCACTGCCGGCATCTGAAAGGCGTGCGCAACTCCGCAGGCAGAAGGGTGGTGAACTGGCATGGGGATTTGACTTGCACTGTTCTCCCGATACGACAGTGCTCAGCCTCCAACAGGCATAAACTGCTGTTTGCTTCCCTCATTCTCCTCCCTTCTTTCGCTTCCTGCATCTCGTCCTAGCGGCCTCTCGGAACGAGGTGTATCGACAGCCATGATCTCTCTTCGTTATGTCAATCTTTGACATGAAAGTTTCGGACAACGGGTTCTCGTTGCTGGCCGTGGTGCAAGCAGGCTCTCAAGCCCCTATCTCTCTCTCTCTCAACATCATCGGTGTGCGGATTTGAAAACCTCGTCCCCACTCCTCTTCAAACCAGTTCCTCCACCCGCCACCTCCACCACCACCACATCGCCCTTGCCTTCCGTGAGCTAAGCAAGCCGCCCCACACCTAACGTCACCACATAACGCCGCGAGGATCCTGAACTCAGTCCTCCCCAGTGCATACTCCAGGACACCGACCATTCGCGCTGCCTTGGATGGTCGGTCGGCCTGCAGGCTTTCGGTCATGAGACGGACAGAACTTGACCAGAAGGGAAAGGATGGGAAAGGAGCTTCAGGAGATCGGAAGACGGGACAAGGCATGATGACCCCAGTCTCCTTGGGCACTGGGCGAGGCTGCAGGCCAGAGTTTTGCCTGGGAGGAGGTCTGCCTATCGCAACTCCAGCTTGACCCGAGCACAAGTACGTAGCACCAAAGCCAAGCAAATTCGGCAGGACGGGCGGCTCATTGGCGATGAGACCAGGGACGTCCTCTTCCTGACACGCAGTGAAAGCTCTGAAAGTGCAGCTGCCAGAAAGCACCCTTGCGGAGCAGCAGGCTCTAGCGGTAAAGCCCTCAGGCTTCCTACGCCGGTTCCTTGAGGAAACCCTGCGTCAGCAGCAGCTTTGCCTGAGCGTCAACCCCTGCCGACAAAGTCACACTCTACGCGGAAAAACATTGCCAGCCGGGAACGAGGTGAATGGTCTCGGGCTCGTCCAGGAGGGCCAGTAGCTGGTCAGCTAGATGCCCCATAGCCTGCAGGTTCCAAGAACTTGCGAAGCCACTGGGGAAGTTTAGAGCTAGAATACAAGACACATAAACAAGTGCATTCAAAGAAGGCTTCAACTTAGCAGCCCGGAGCACCGACACTTTCACTGCATTACATGATTCAGTTCTGAAGCCTTCAACCTGCAGTACAATCGTCCTGCCCGTCCTCGTCCTCATACTCTGGCCTCAGACCATTTCACGTCATGTAGGGTTGCACAGCAGGTGTCGCTACATCGACAAAGTCTCACAGTGTTCTTGCTACATGTGTTCTAACAGTCATTAACATGTGCTAACTTTTGCTCCATACCACGACTGACGGCAGGCGGATGCACAGCACGCGCACACACGCGCGCCCGCCCCCGGCCACGCACGCACGCACACGCACCCACCCACCCACACTCGGGCGCACGCTAAATACCGAGCGAGCGGCAGGACAGCGGTCACAGGCCAAAATGCCGGCACCGCCGAGCAAGCCGCTGGTAGAGGCACAAGCGGCAGGGTCGGCTGTGGCTTTGGCGTGGCAGCAAGGCCTGAAAAGAGCTCCCACCCATGAACGCTTCGTTTATGTTGGTCAGCTGTCATCATTGCCTCCGTTCGCAGTTGAGCCTCGTAACCCGATTCCCAGCCTGGAGGGGGTGACAGTGCCGCAGTGGTGTAGGACAACACGGCCTGCGCAACTTATGCGGCCGAGTGTTGAAGCAAAACCACGCAAACTCCAACAGTGTGTGGAAGTCGACCAGTTGCACAGCAGTGGCGAACGAGGTCTCTGCGGTTCATGAGGATCGCTCCTAAAAATAAGATTGATTGTCGACATGGACTTCCGAATGAAGTGGGAGTGTCGCCGGTTCAAGCAGGGTTGTTTCTGTGGAACCCCGAAGACTTTGAGGCTCCGGAGCCCCGAAACACTGAACATCTCCGAAACTCGTCCTAGGTTGCCGAAATTCAAACATATCTCGGCCTGTGGAGCAGTCGGCTGGGGTGGCACTAAACCATCCTGAGAGCACGCATTGCTTGTTTCTCATGGACCTTGACCACACGGACATCTCATGGTGTCACTGTCGCCTGCGGTTCAAAGATGTCTGGACTTCTAGGTGCATCTTTGGAAGCCACAAGAGATCCCAAGAAATCTTGCAGCAAACAGCATACTTGTCCAAGTCTCAAGTTCAAGTGGTGTCTTGTGACATTCCGTTGTCGCGACGGTAACAAGTCCTGCAAAGCGGAAGCGAAACTAGGCAAGGCAATCTCGAAGACTGGCATGTCTTCACAGGCATGCCGATCACAGCGGAGCAGAATCTCGACCCGTCTTGCGGTGACTACGACAGCATGCTCAAGAGACCCAAAGTCCTGGCATGACCGGACCTTGGACGCCTGGGAGACACGGCATGCAGAGTCATTTTCGCTCTTAGACGGGAAGTGAGGGTTAGGCCGTGAATCAGGAAACTGAATACGGGAATACGAGAGCAAGAAGTGGAGCTAGAGGAGAGCAGAGCATGGAGAGTGGAGTCGAGAGTAGTGTGGCTCGAATGTGCGTGTTTGCAAAGATACACATTCGTGGTACGAGCTAGTTCAACTACTCATAAGCACAGCTGGCCCTTTGGGACCCTTTCGGACAGGATGCTAGCATTGGAGGCTGGCGGCATGCTGCGCCTGGGAACTGCTCGGCCTGAGACAGCAGAAACTACAAAACTGAGCATGCCCGGCAGCATCTCGCCATGACATGGTGTTGGAGGCGTTTGAAGGCATCTGAAGGCTGAAGTCCCGAGACCCAACCTCAAACATCCACCGTGCTTCACCGTGCTTCAAGCCGGGCCACGCTTCGGGGTAGCGGCCCCAACGGGACTTGACCGCTCCTCGCGGTCTGTTGATGGCAACTGTTTCGGTTGTCAGACAGCGAGCTCGCAGTGGGACCGGAAATTCAAGAGGCTGGTCAACCCTGCACTGCCGCAGGGCTGCAAAGCGCACATTATCGACATCCGCGAAAGCCCGCGGACGGGGGTCACATTCCTGAAAGCAGGGAACCCACTCGCGGTCCTGACGCCTAGGGCCTTGGCTTCGATTCGCCATCTGGCAAGCTTCGGCATGAGTGCAAGGTGTCAACGCACTCGACACAAGATGGTTTTAAGCTGTTTCGATCACCCGAGCACCGACAGCACTGATGTGTCAGGTACGGGCGCAGAAGAAGGCCTCAGCTTTGGGTGCTGCACCTGCGTGTGCAAAGTGCCCATGCCGTCTCTTAGGCTTGCCAACTTTACTTTCCCGTTGTCATGTGAAGGCTTCTCTGCTGCGTGCTGCAGTTTGCACAAACGCTCCACGAAGATGCACTTACCCGCCTTTGCAGCTGCTGGAGATGCGATGGGAGAGAAGGAACCGCAAGAACAACGTGCTGAGTTCCCATGCTGCGGCACAAGACAACGCGCAGCTGATGCATGCATGCGGCTCAAACTGCACTAAATACATCACGAAAACCTGCAGATTAGCAAGAAGGTGTGGCTACTTCATTCGAGAAGCTGCATGCTTTTGGACTTAAACACAAACACTGTGCTCAAGCTGGAAGCTGGGTCGGGCTGTCGTCTTTCGGCCGTCATTCCACAAGTTCGATTTGAGTTTGCAGCTTCACATGTGCATTGTAAGGAGTCGGGGATCCGGGATAGGGATGTCAAAACTGAAATTAGCAGTAATTAGCAGAACTAGACAGATGCTTCGACGTCTTTGACAAACTCAGTACCCGCACTGCCAAATAGCTTTTCCAAGCCCCCACATACTGGGTGCGGCGCCATGCCGCGAGCCCGCACCAGATCCCCCGACGGCACCCGCCGAAGAACAAAAAAGGAGCTGCAGAATAGACGCCAGCGGCAGCCTCAGAAAGGCAAGAGCGACAGGAAGACAAGACGGAAATCGCCGAACCCCAGGGAATGGCAGCCGATTCGATCCCAGGCGGATGACGACGAACTCACCGAGGTAGAGATCGATGTGGAGACGGCGCACGAAGCGCAGTAGTAGTGGTGGTGGTGGTCGTGGTAGCAGTAGCAGTAGCAGTAGCAGTAGTAGCAGTAGCAGCAGTAGTAGCAGTGGCAGCAGCAGCAGCAGTAGTACTAGCAATAGTAGCAATAGTAGTAGTAGTAGTAGTAGTAGTAGTAGTAGTAGTAG